CAGAATCCCCTTTCCCCATTTTCTTCCTCATCCATCCCAATTACTCATTTTTCAACCTAATACCCATAACGACAATAAAAAAACACTCATATCTCATCCCAAATTATTTTCCAAAACCCTCATTTCTCATAACCCACATTCTCCAAAACTCATTCAACATTCTACCAAAACCCCTCATTCCTCATAACCCACATTCTACCAAAACCCCTCATATATCTCAACCCCCCCCCCTTTAATACTCACAACCCTCATTCTATTCCAGAGTTCCTGCACGATAGACGTGACGTACTTCCCGTTCGATCAGCAGACTTGCCTCATGAAGTTCGGTTCCTGGACCTTCAACGGCGATCAAGTGTCCCTCACGCTCTACAACGATAAGAATTACGTGGATCTCTCTGACTACTGGAAGTCCGGGACGTGGGATATTGTTGAGGTAAGGGCGGGGTCGGGGAGGACTTTGGGGTATGGGAGGGGACGGGGGGGGATGATGGGGGGGGAGAGAAGGGATTGGGGGGGAGGGAGGGATGGTGGAAAGGGAGGGGAGGGGATGGGGGGGGGAAGAAAAGTTCGGGGAGGACTTGGGATATGGGAGGGGATGGGAGAGGGGATGGTAGAAAGGGAAGGATGGTGGAAAGGGAGGGGAGGGGATGGGGGGGAAGGGTCAGGGAGGGATAGTGGCAAGGGGAGGGGATGGGGGGGGGGAAGGAAGGGCCAGGGAGGGAGTGGGTGGTAGGGATTGCGATGGATGGGTGAGGGAGGGGGTAGAGGGGAGGAAGGAGGGAAGAGGGAGTAGGTATCAGGGGGTGGGAATAGATCAGGGAGGGATGGAGGTAGGGGGTGGTAGTGAGGAAAGGGCTGGTAGGGAAGGAAAAGGGGGGGGGGTAAGAGGAAGAAGGAGGCAAAGAGATGTCGGTAGGGAGGGTAGGGAGAGGCTTGAAAGGGAGAAGGAAGTAGGAAGAAGGAAGGAAGAGAGGTATTATTACGAAATGACACCTAACCTAACCATAGAACGTAACATTCTAAGACGCTCTTATTCTATAGCATTTCCTTCGCAAACAAATAATAAGGGAAATAGAGAGGATGAAAATGACGCAATAGCGAGGAAGCGACGGAACAACCGAGCGGAATTTGTGCGGGATGACGTAAGCGATTGATATCAAAGGAGCCAATGGGAATTGCACTTGGCCGTCACGTGACAATAGCGACCAGTCTATTAGAGCCAATAAGATTTGTAATAGATAACCACAGTAGAAGCTGAACCCGAGAGAAGTCAGGTGCAATTCAAAACAGTTCCGTCATGGCTTGCTGGGGCATAAGTTGCTGTTTCGACCCTCGCATGCAAAATATCATGGCAATGACGAAAACTGTTCTCGCTACTCCTGCCAACAGCGACTGAAGTTACCGAAATTTTTACTTCGATCGTTCGCTTTTTCTCTGCAATTTCCCTGGTAGTTATCATGTCTACCTCAGATATCGTAGCTGTGCTTCGTTTGCGAAGGAAATAAATACTATATTCGTTCGAAAAACGACGAGAGCTTTCAGAATAAAAAACATTTTCCATCCGGTGAGGACGAAGTAGGGAGGAGATAGAAGGAAAGTGATGGTTTTAAAAGAAAGTGGCATGGAGAGGGGGAGAGGGAGAAGGTAGGGATAGATATCAGACAAAAATATGGGGGGGGGGCGGATGGTAGGGGAAGTACAGGGGGTGGTTGAGAGAGGGGAAGAAAGAGGAGGAGGAAGAGTAAAGGAACATGAGTGGGAGGTACGAAGAAGGAAGAAGGAGAGGAGAAGATAATAAGATACAAGATTTGAAATGGTAGAAAATCAAAGGAAGAGTAGTGAAGAGGGAGAGGGAGGACGAGAATAAGGGACGACGGGGGTAGTGAGGGTAGTGGTGATGGGGGGGGGCGGAGCAGAAAGGATGGGGGGGGGGAGGCAAGGGAGGACGAGAGGGGAGTGGAAGGGGGGAGAGGCGAGTCCCAGGGGAGGGGGGAGTGGAACAGCGGCACAAAGGAGGGACAAAAGAGAAAAAAGGGAAGTGGGAGAGAGAGAGAAGGGAGGAAGGGCAGAGATGGAATGCTTATGAAAGAAATCACGAAGGCTAGGGAAAGTAAAAGAGAACGAGGCATACAAGAAAATGGGAAAGAAGTTGAAGCAGAAGCATGGGAAACAAATACAATAAATAAATAAATAAATAAATAAATAAATAAATAAAAATAAAGAAAACGAAAATATAAAACGGGGTATGTACAATTGAATTTTGACATTTACATGAATTTATCTTTGCAGCAAAATGAATAAATAAAATACTATAATGGGCAGAAAGAAAGTAAGGAAAAGGTCGCAATGGTGAGGAAAAAAAGCTTAGGACGGGACAATAGCAGCAGGGGAAGGGGGGGTAAAGGGGGGGGGGGTGACCGTTTTCAGGTAAGAAGGAAGAGGAAGAAGGGGAGGCAAGAGTTGCAGGTTAATGTTTTTTTGTTTTTTTTTCAATACTATAAAGATATCGACCATCGCATATTTCAATAAAGATCAGGTTTTCCTTCGTTTCTCATCTGTCTGTGTGTATTTTAGTTTTCTAATTTTGGCTTTTGTATCAGATGTATAATTGTTTGTCTGGTGAGTTTCCGATTCACTATTTTATTACCAAAATATGTCCTGAACACAGTTGAATATCGGTTTCATTATTATAAAAGTACAGGGAATTATAATTTTACCAATATCATTTTTATAATTACTACCGAAGGCAGCATTTCATTTAATAAAAAAAATATTTAGTCACTGTCCCCCAGCCCACTTAATATTCATTCATCTAACACCCATTATAACATTCACAGTCATTGGTTACGAACAATATGTATACGTAACACATGGCAATTTTTTCCCCTTTTCCCCTTCAGTAGTTCTTTATAATAGATTCAAGCTCATTAGCATATTCTTTTTTCTCACTGTGCTTTTCGCAAAATTTGGTTCTGGTCTCATAACATAACATGTTGTGGACGTGTTTTTTTTTTTTTTTTTTTTTTTTTTTTTTTTTTTTTTTTGCAAGGTAATGCTGCCTCTTAGAGTACGTTTTCTTTGACTTTTGGAGGGACTGTTTCCTTCTTTTCTTACGTTGTCTTTTGTGTTTGTCTGTCTCTTTTCCCCTGTTTTTGTTTTTGTTTCTGTCTGTCTCTTTCTCCCTTTCTCTCTCTTTTTCTTTCTCTTTCTCTCTTTCTTTCTATTTCTCTCTTTCTCTTTCTTTCTCTTTCTCTCTTTCTTTCTCTTTCTCTCTTTCTCTCTTTCTCTCTCTCTCTCTCTCTCTCTCTCTCTCTCTCTCTCTCTCTCTCTCTCTCTCTCTCTCTCTCTCTCTCTCTCTCTCTCTCTCTCTCTCTCTCTCTCCTTTCTCCCTTTTCTATCTTTCTCTCTCTTTCCCTCTCCTGCCATCCATCCATACATCTATCTATCAATCTATCTATCTATCTATCTATCCATCTAAGCATCCACTTATCTATCTATCAAATGCAAAAATTCGCCCATCTACCTATCTACCCCCCCCCCAATCATCTGATTAGGATTTATAGGATTAGGATTTATAAGATTAGGAGATCTGGAGGATTAAAAGGATTGAAGGAGAGGAGGAAGAGAGAGGGTTAATAGGAGGAAGCTGAGTTTGTCTTCCTCTTCGTCTTTCTTTGTCTTTATTGACTTTTTTTTTTTTATCTTTCTCTCTTTCGGGTTTCTTTTCTTTTTTCTTCTCTTTGTGTCTTGTCTGTCTGTCTGTTTGTCAGTCTGTCTGTCTGTTTGTCTGTCTGTCTGTCTCTCTGTCTCTCTGTCTCTCTCTCTCTCTCTCTCTCTCTCTCTCTCTCTCTCTCTCTCTCTCTCTCTCTCTCTCTCTCTCTCTCTCTCTCTCTCTCTCTCTATCACTCATTCTATCTGTCTCTTCTTTTCGTTTCTTTTCTTTTAATATATTTTCTTGCGGGAGAACCTAAACTTGAGGAGACGGTGTGTGGGGGGGGGAGGGTAATGTGATAATCTCTAATCCTATTTTCTTTCTCTTTTAATTATATTGTTCAAGAGATGACAATGGTAATGATTGTTGTAATGATGATGGTGAAAGTGATGATAATATTGATGGTGGTTGTAGTAGGAATATCAGTGATAGTGATAATAAGAATGGTAGTGGTTATAATAATTGCAATATCACTCACTCTCACTCACTCACTCTCACTCACTCACTCTCACTCACTCACTCTCACTCACTCACTCTCACTCACTCACTCTCACTCACTCACTCTCACTCACTCACTCTCACTCACTCACTCTCACTCACTCACTCTCACTCACTCACTCTCACTCACTCACTCTCACTCACTCACTCTCACTCACTCACTCTCACTCACTCACTCTCACTCACTCACTCTCACTCACTCACTCTCACTCACTCACTCTCACTCACTCACTCTCACTCACTCACTCTCACTCACTCACTCTCACTCACTCACTCTCACTCACTCACTCTCACTCACTCACTCTCACTCACTCACTCTCACTCACTCACTCTCACTCACTCACTCTCACTCACTCACTCTCACTCACTCACTCTCACTCACTCACTCTCACTCACTCACTCTCACTCACTCACTCTCACTCACTCACTCTCACTCACTCACTCTCACTCACTCACTCTCACTCACTCACTCTCACTCACTCACTCTCACTCACTCACTCTCACTCACTCACTCTCACTCACTCACTCTCACTCACTCACTCTCACTCACTCACTCTCACTCACTCACTCTCACTCACTCACTCTCACTCACTCACTCTCACTCACTCACTCTCACTCACTCACTCTCACTCACTCACTCTCACTCACTCACTCTCACTCACTCACTCTCACTCACTCACTCTCACTCACTCACTCTCACTCACTCACTCTCACTCACTCACTCTCACTCACTCACTCTCACTCACTCACTCTCACTCACTCACTCTCACTCACTCACTCTCACTCACTCACTCTCACTCACTCACTCTCACTCACTCACTCTCACTCACTCACTCTCACTCACTCACTCTCACTCACTCACTCTCACTCACTCACTCTCACTCACTCACTCTCACTCACTCACTCTCACTCACTCACTCTCACTCACTCACTCTCACTCACTCACTCTCACTCACTCACTCTCACTCACTCACTCTCACTCACTCACTCTCACTCACTCACTCTCACTCACTCACTCTCACTCACTCACTCTCACTCACTCACTCTCACTCACTCACTCTCACTCACTCACTCTCACTCACTCACTCTCACTCACTCACTCTCACTCACTCACTCTCACTCACTCACTCTCACTCACTCACTCTCACTCACTCACTCTCACTCACTCACTCTCACTCACTCACTCTCACTCACTCACTCTCACTCACTCACTCTCACTCACTCACTCTCACTCACTCACTCTCACTCACTCACTCTCACTCACTCACTCTCACTCACTCACTCTCACTCACTCACTCTCACTCACTCACTCTCACTCACTCACTCTCACTCACTCACTCTCACTCACTCACTCTCACTCACTCACTCTCACTCACTCACTCTCACTCACTCACTCTCACTCACTCACTCTCACTCACTCACTCTCACTCACTCACTCTCACTCACTCACTCTCACTCACTCACTCTCACTCACTCACTCTCACTCACTCACTCTCACTCACTCACTCTCACTCACTCACTCTCACTCACTCACTCTCACTCACTCACTCTCACTCACTCACTCTCACTCACTCACTCTCACTCACTCACTCTCACTCACTCACTCTCACTCACTCACTCTCACTCACTCACTCTCACTCACTCACTCTCACTCACTCACTCTCACTCACTCACTCTCACTCACTCACTCTCACTCACTCACTCTCACTCACTCACTCTCACTCACTCACTCTCACTCACTCACTCTCACTCACTCACTCTCACTCACTCACTCTCACTCACTCACTCTCACTCACTCACTCTCACTCACTCACTCTCACTCACTCACTCTCACTCACTCACTCTCACTCACTCACTCTCACTCACTCACTCTCACTCACTCACTCTCACTCACTCACTCTCACTCACTCACTCTCACTCACTCACTCTCACTCACTCACTCTCACTCCTCACTCTCACCTCATTACTCTCCCTCATTCACTCTCACTCACTCACTCTCACTCTCTCACTCACTAACTCTCCCTCCCCCTTTTTCTTCTCCCGCAGGTACCAGCCTTCCTGAACGTCATTCCGAGCGAGAAGGGCGCCACGGAGACCGACATCACCTTCTACATCACCATCAGGAGGAAGACTCTGTTCTACACCGTCAACTTGATTCTTCCAACGGTCCTCATTTCGTTCCTTTGCATTCTCGTCTTCTACTTGCCGGCCGAAGCAGGAGAGAAGGCGAGTGGAGGAAGGGAGGAAGAAGGAGGAAGTGGGGGAGAGGGGGAGAAGATGGGAAGTGGGTGTGGAGGAAGGGGGGAAGAAGGAGGAAGTGGGGGAGAGGGGGAGAGAATGAGAGTGGAGAGGTGGGGAGGATGGGAAGCAGGAGAGAAGGCGAGTGGAGGAAGGGAGGAGGAAGGAGGGAGTGGGGGAGAGGTGGAAAGAATGGGAAGTGGGTGGAATGGGTGGAGAAGTGTGGGAGACGTGGAGAGTATGGAATGGATGAGGAAGTGGAGGAAGAAAGAAGGAGGAAGTAAAAGAAAGAATAAGGAAGTGGCAGGAAGAAAGAGAAGTAGAAAGCGGATGTGTGGAGGATGAAATGAGGAAGATGTAGAAGAAGGAAGAAAGAGAAAGAGGCGAAGGAAAGAATGAAAAAAGTAGGAAGAATGTGTAAGAGGCAGAGGAAAAGCTGATGAAGAGGTGGAAGAAAGATGGAGGAAGAGGAGAAAGAAAGAATGGGGAAGAGGTTAAGGAAGGAATGAGGAAGACAGGCAAGGAAGAAAGAAGAACCTAGTGGAAGAAAGCATGAGGAAGGGATAGAAGAATAAATGAAGAATAAGGGGAAGGAAATGATTATGAAGATGAGAGAGAGATGAAAGAATGGATGAGGAAGTGGAGGGTGGAAGAAAGAAATGGAAGAAGACTAAAGAAGGACAGGAATAGGAAAATGAACAGATGGATTGAAATGTTAAGGAAAAAAGAGAGAATAGGTAAATGATAAAGTTATATATAAAAAAAAAAAAAGGTTTGTGTGTGTGTAGGGGGGGGGGTGCGTGCGTGCGTGAGCGTACATGCGCACAAGTAGTTATCACTGTAATTAGATGATAATCATAACGATAATGATACAAATTAGAATACCGATTTTAATAATGTTGATAGGATTGTAAATTCCTTGTTCACTAGCCCTTGTAGCAAAATATATTTTGATTAACCACTAAAGACTGTAAAGAACTTTCTAGAAAGCCAAAATGTATATTTTTTCATGACAGATTTCACGTCTCAGTGTAATCCTAACGAGAAACCTCACAAATCCCTCATAAATCTCTCTCACACTCCTTATTTTCAAAAATCTCATTTACCACCTCATCGAGCTTCACGAATCTTCAGGCCTCCTCATGAACCCTTCCTTAAGCTCCACATTAATCCACATTCCTCATAATTCCTCCTTCCTCATAATTCTTAATAAACATTCTAAGTAACCTTCACCTTCCTCATTTTTTTTTCATTTGACTCCACAACACAAACCATCTCATAATCTATAAGAATCCAGGCTTCGCAAACCTCACTCTCATAATTCTCATAAAAAAATAATATATTCTCTATAATTTTCATTTCAGCTTCTCATAATCCTCATAAAAATCCTCATGGTCTATAACTATCCCAGAAATTCCTTCAGGTTACCTCACGCTCTCATAGTCCTCATAAAATCTCAAGAATAATAAACATTCCAAATACTTGATCATTCCAAATACTTCCTTATATAAACTCTCATCGTAATAAACCTCATGACTACTGATCTTCCCGAAAACTCAAACATAAATTTCCTCATAAACATACCCTCATGGCATTCCCTCACATCCCCATTAATCCTCACAGTCACAGTCACCCCACCTCATAAAAACTCATTAAAATAATTTAAAAACAACACCTCACAATTACTAACCCCCCAATCTTATTTTTAAAAATCATAAAAAGAATCAAAAACACCTCACAATCACCAACCCTCTCCTCCCCCCCCCACCGCAACTCATAAAACCCTCATAAAAAGAATAAACAAATCACTCACAATCACTACCCCCACCCCCACCCACCACCCCAAACTCATAAAAAAAACTTACAAAAAAGAAAGAAAAAGAAAAAAAGAAAAAACTAAATCACTATCACTAACCTCTCTCCCCAAACGCCCTCAGGTGACACTCGGTATCTCCATTCTGCTGTCACTGGTTGTGTTCCTGTTGCTGGTGTCGAAAATCCTGCCCCCGACCTCTCTGGTGCTGCCGTTGATCGCCAAGTACCTCCTGTTCACCTTCGTCATGAACACGGTGTCCATCCTCGTCACCGTCGTCATCATCAACTGGAACTTTAGGTAGGTTTTAGGGGTTAGAAAAAAGGGGTGGGTGGGTGGGTTGGGGGTGTGTGTGGACGGGGGAGGGAGGGGGAGGGGTGATGTAAGGGTGGGTGGGTTGGGTGTGTGAACGGGGGGAGGGGGGTGATGTAAGGGTAGGTGGGTTGGGGTGTGTGAACGGGGGGGGGGGGTGATGTAAGGGTGGGTGGGTTGGGTGTGTGTGACCGGGGGAGGGAGGGGGGGGGGTGATGTAAGGGTGGGTGGGTTGGGGTGTGTGAACGGGGGGGGGGGGGGGTGATGTCAAGGTGGGTGGGGGGGGAGGTTGAGGTAGAATGGGGGTAGAGTGGTGTGTGGGTTGTCAGGGTAGATGGGGTAGCAACGGAATAGGGGGGGGAGGGGGAGGAGTGGAAATATAATGGTTCTATTAAGTCTGTGTGATAGGGGGTGCGGTGGGATGGAAGGGGGGGGAGTGGGTGTATGTTGAGGTGGATTGAATAGAATTGAAGTTGGGAGTAGAAGGGGTTGAGGTGGGGGGGGGGTAGGAGAAAGAAGGGGATAGGAAGGGAATAAGAGAGTAAGAGGAAGGAGTAAATAGCGTAGAAAGAGGGTAAGGAGAAGCGATGGATAAAGAGAGGAAGGACCGAATGGGTGGGATTAAAGGGAGATATTGGGAAAGGTAGGGAAAGGTATAGAAGAAAATGGAAAGAAGAACGAACGGGAGGTAGAGAAGGACGATTAAGAGGGCAGAAGGAGGAGGAGAAGGAGAAGGGAGAAGAATGGGCTGATATTAAAAACGGAGAAGAGGACGGAATGGAAGAGATAGAAGAGAGAGGAAGATTAGGTGGGAGGTGTAGGAGAATGAAGAGGAGGGGAGATGGAGAAGAAAAGAAAATGGAGATGAAGTAGCGAGGAAGAAGGATGAGGGGGAAGGAGAAAGAGAATAGAAGAACAAATACAAGAAGATCAAGTGAATGAAATCAATGTAGGAGAAAATAAAGAGAAAAAAGATGAAGTGTTAGCATCTAATTAATTAATAACTCAACAGATCAAGAAATGTAATCAACACGTAAGGCTAATGATAATATAAATCGATACACATCACACCCTGCCATATCCTTTGTGCAACTGTCACAAGAGTATACAAACTAACGATATATTAGACTATGTATAACTGATTCATAATACTCACACTGCAACTTCTCTCCCACCGATTTACACAGCGATCGGAGCTCTTGCACAACCCTCTATACTTACCTTTCAATCCCACCCATCGTTCGCCCTCTCCTACTAACTCCTTCGGCGTTCGTTCCCCAGGGGCCCGCGGACGCACAGGATGCCCAACTGGATCCGCGCTGTGTTCCTCAAGTTCCTGCCCATCATGTTGTTCATGAAACGACCGAGGAAGACACGCCTGCATTGGATGAACGACATGCCTCGTGAGTCTTGCCTTGCGGTTCTGTCATGCTTGCTTGCATGCTTGACTGCCTGTTAAATATTTTCACTATTCTAGCACTGGGGTTTAAGTTTTGGTTTTCTTGTGGGTTTTACTTTATATATATATATATATATATATATATATATATATATATATATATATATATATATATATATATATATATAAATATATACATATATATATATATATATATATATATATATATATATATATATATATATATATATATATATATATATATATATATATATATATTGTCATTCTCTTAATGGATTATCATTACCTTGTGGATTTAATATACTATACTTTTTCCTATTTTCTCTTTCTTTGTTGTGATGATTACATTGAATTATTTTTTTCCTTGTGAGTCTCTTCTACTTTTTTCGAGTAAGACAATTCTTTTTCCTGAATTGTCTTTCTAATGATCGTATTTTTGGGGAAAGTTGAAGAGGAAAATTGCGATTATTTTGATCCCCCGATTGGCATAGTTAGTCAAAGGAAACAGGCGACAAAACACAGTAGAATAGTAGTAGTAATAGTAATGTTGATACTTGATGCATACATACACTAATTCATGAACATGGTGTGCGCATGTGTGTGTGTGTGAGAGAGAGAGAGAGAGAGAGAGAGAGAGAGAGAGAGAGAGAGAGAGAGAGAGAGAGAGAGAGAGGAAAGTGACGTTTGTGTGTATATCTTTTTTTTATTATTTTTTAGTTTGTATGTGCCCAAGTACACCAAAATTACCAGCATACACATCTATTCTCAGATTCCCCCATCTCCCTCTCTCTCTCTCTCTCTCTCTCTCTCTCTCTCTCTCTCTCTCTCTCTCTCTCTCTCTCTCTCTCTCTCTCTCTCTCTCTCTCTCTCTCTCATCCCCACTCTCACCCCTTCCCTTTCTCTCTCCCACCCTCCTCTCCTCCCTCTCTCATTCTCATCCCCCCTCTCACCCTCCCCCTTCCTCCACCCACCACCACAAAACACACCTACACGCCCACACACCACACACCCACACCCACACGCCCACCCACCCACACTTCCATGAATGATTATCTCTCTAAAAAGCTCCACCCCCAAAGCTACGATTTTCCTCTCTGCACTTTTCCAGCTGCCATGGTAGATCCCCAAGTGACAAACAACCCTCTCGGTCTCCCTCTCACAGCTGGCGTTCCTCCCCACCATCACTTCGGCTCTCCGGAACTTAACAAATCCACGAGCAAGATTGAGCACATGGAACTGTCCAGTCTGCATCATCCCAATTGCAAGATCAATCGAGAGGTGAGTTGTGGGTCCGAGGTTCGTGTTCGGGTTGGTTTTCGTTCTGCTTGTTTGTGTGTGTGTGGGTTTTTTATTGTTTGTGTGTGTCTGTGTGGGTTTTGTTTGTTTTCTTGTTTGGGGTTGTTTATCTCGTTCGTCTTGGATCTTTATATTTGTTTGTTTTGTTTGTATGGGGTTTACTTTATTAGTTGTTTGAGGGAGTTCTTGTTCAGTGATTGTTTTTGTGGTTCTTTTTATAATTCTTGGAATGTGATTTTTTTTTGTTTTTTGTTTTTATTATTATTATTCTCTTCTTTTTATGGCGAGATATTTTATTCTCAGTTTCTTATTATGTTTTCATTGTGTTCTTTATTTTGTTTTGTTTATATTACTTTCATGCCACGAGTTTATTTTCAGTGTCAAAAGTATCAGAATCCGTTTGGTTACTTTCATTTTTCTTTTTATTATTGTTGGTAACGTTTATTATACAATAAGTTATTTTTAATGTTGAAAATATATTGCTTGTTTTTGTTGTGTTCATTTTAGTATTTAAGTCCTTTCCATTTTTTTTTTCAATGTAGAAAATATTGTATATTCTATTTATTTGTATTATTTCACTATTTTATTACATTCACTAAGATTATTTTTTGTGATTTTTATCTATCTTATTTATCTTATTTCAGTTACATTATTCCAAGGAGTTCCTTTACAATACAGTCAGTATATATTAATAAGTTGATATCTAAACCTTTTATTTCTAGACAATTAGCTTTGGTGACAATTAATCTTTATATTAATAACCCAGTAAAATTCATACATTGTAATTTGCTTTCGTTTTCCCTAATTCGTTCACATCCACGGTAGGTCGTCCATGTCAGTTGTAGCTGATTAATATTCATCACATTTTAATTGACGTATACTAGATAAGAGTCTTAATTGTACATGTCAGTTGTAGCTAATTAATGTCCATCACATTTTATTTCACGTATAATTGTAATTTGTTCACCTCCAACTTAGGAAAGTAACAGCTGATTCTCATTTGTTTGTTTATTTGTAGGTAGTTCACATCCACTGACATCTGTTTTCTGAGCTTAAACCAGGCGAAAAAAACGGGTTGAAATAACCGTGAAAACTGATCAATTCAAGTAAAAAATTGAATAGATGAATGAATACATAGATGGGTAAATTGATAAATGATAGACACATAGAGAGATACATACATACATACATACATACATACATATATGGAAAAATGGATAAATAGTTAGACAGACAGATAGACACACACAGAGATACATACATGCATACATACATACACACATAGTAGAGAGTAGATAGATAGATAGGTAGATAAATAGATAGACAGATAGATATACAGACAAACATATAGATAGACGGATAGATAGATAGACAAAAATATAACCAGACGACTTAAAAAACAACAACAATACAAATCCTTCCCAAGATGCATAAACAAAACAATATATTGCAAGCATCCCCCTGAGTCAACACCAGATCACGATTGCGTAGTCTCCACTGTTGCAGATGCCTCGTCGTGAGTCTGAGAGTTCAGACTCGCTTTTCATGACTCCTGAAGCTTACAAGGCCACGGAAGCTGTCGAGTTCATCGCTGAGCATTTGAGAAACGAGGACGAGTACATACAGGTAAGTCGCCGGGAAATAGTAGATCTATTATTAATTTAGTTATTGTTAATTCATTGTTGTGGGAGAAAGGGGGGTAAGGTGTAAAGGTTTTATTATATTTATTGTTTTTTGTTTTTTTTTGTTCTTCTGTTGATACTGCTAACTAACTTCCTTGTAATAAGACCGGGTTTTAGTGGTTATTCAGCGTTAGATTATATCATTATGGTATAAAATGATAATTGTAAATTACTGCATGATATTATGAAGCAAGATTAGCAAATGCCTCAAAAGGATAAAAAAATACTATAATCATAAACCCAATTAAAGGCATGATATTCATTAAATAGAGATGGAGGAATTATTTTCAGAATATAAGTGAATAGAGCTTTTCTGTTATAGACATTCCCCGTGACCCCTTGCTATGCTAATTTGCCCTTTATTCCCAGGTGCGGGAGGACTGGAAATACGTTGCCATGGTGATCGATCGTCTCCAGCTTTACATTTTCTTTGCAGTCACCACAGCAGGCACTATCGGGATTTTGATGGATGCCCCGCACATATTTGAATATGTAGACCAGGATAAGGTTATTGAAATGTATAGAGGGAAGTGAAGTGTAGTGTGGGTGGTCTGTGTGTTGGCATTCATGTGTATAATGTAAAATTTGAAGAAAAAAAAATGAAGAAGCATAAAAAAAGGCATAATGAAGAAAGAGAAAGAGAGGAAAGGGTTTTAAAAAATTGTGAAGAAGGATCTTTTGTTTCTTCAAATACACGGTGACAGATATGTCTTTTGATTTTGAGACGATACTGAGATGATGGTATCTTGAGGAGTATCATCTCTGCCCAGATGCTGTCTCTCTCTCTCACACGCTGTCTGTCTATCTCTTTCTATCCATCCACCAATCTACCTATCTTCATCGCTACGGAAGTGATGGTATATAAAAAAAAGAAAAACATTTTCGTCGCGAGAACAAACGGGAGATAAAGGATAATCGAAGGAAGGAAGAGAGAAGATAAAGAAAAGTGTTACATGAAAGAGAGAGAGAGAAGAAGAAGAAAGAGAAGAAAAAGGGACATTATCGTTGTTACACGAAAGAGAAAAAACGGAAGAAAAAGGAACAGCGGTGTAAAACAGAAGAGATCAGCGGAAAATTCTTCCAAGAAGCGGACTCTCTCGGACACTCTCGCCGTCGTGATGTTGGTGCCGACCTCACTTGCTTGTGATCCTGGTTGTGTGCATCCCCCTCACCCTGCAGCCAACAGTATTTCGAAGTCCCCGGGGTCTTCAAGACGTTACAGGTGGACTTCTCAAGATTTTTTTCCAACTTGGAGCTCATGTGTGTTAAGAAAAGGAAATGAAACAAATGAAGAATGACGACGGAGAAGAGAAGAGAGTAGAGGAATAAGACCGAAGGGCACATCGCAAAGGAAAGAAGAGTGAGGTGATCTAAGGTCAAACAGTTTCGCAGACGAATGACTTTGAGTCGCTCATGAGCTTCCTTATCCTCCCTGAGGTCACACACTTTTAGACACTTGTAGACACTTGTACACACACTTTAGAAATACACATGCAAACACAAACAAATACACGATCATGTAGACATTTATGAATGGTTATAAACACATGTTACATGACTTGTGTTGTGAAATGTGATGTGGGAAAAAAGCATCTGGATTTGGCAGTTGCAGATTACAGTGTTCAAATTTAATAGTAGAGATCTGAAGGGTATTATCTTGTTAAGAAGAGACGCACATGTCTGCATGCTACTGTGTGTGTGCGTGTGTGCGTGTTAAAAGGTATGGCGTGAGAGAAAAAAGGCGACAATTGCAAACAATGAAAGTGCCAAGCCATGATCAGAAAGATAAAGAAAAAGGAGTGACACACAGGAAGATAATTAATTTAAAAAAAACAGGAAGAATGAAGGGAAATAAAGGACAGCAACATCGTAAAACACAAACCCACTTGATCACGTGATTATCTACCTTTGTTTTCTTCTTATTGTTATCATTTTTGTCTTGTCGCATGAGTGAAGCCAACCACCCAATGTGTGTTTGGATGCCGGAACAATCAGGAGATTGAAAATAACGAGTAAGTGAGAGAATTAT